CAATTACAGACACCAAAATGTTGTAAAAAGCCATTCCCTGAAGTCCAAATGCTCACAGAGAAGACATGCCATCCAGCAAAAACCTCATACAAAGCACTGATGAAAATAGAGAAAGATAGAGAAAAGCCCTCTCTGATTCTTTTCTTAATTCCTAGAGTTTCACTCATCACTGCTGTGAAACACGTATTTGCAAAATTAGGCAGCAGAAGCAGAGGATGCCAACTCAGCACTGTGCGTGCGAGGACCCATCTTACTATCAGTATCCATCTTAGGTAGCAGACTGGTATTTAACCACACCAAAAAGGAATAAATTACTGTAGTCATGGTCAGAAATAGATACATGGAGAAAAACAAAACAAACAAGGACTACTGGAGGACAAAGCAACAGTAAAACAGGCATACCTGAGTGCCCCAGCATCAGTCATGCTCTGCAGAGCCATCAGGGTAAGAGACAGCGGAAATTGATACAGAACTCCACCAGCAGGTACTTAGTTGCCTTCAATGCTCTGTCAAACTTGCTCTTTTTCAGCAAGAGTACGTTGTTCTCCTTTTTTATTGTGGGGAGTTTGGCTTTCTTTGGCTTTGTTTCCTTTGGGCTTATGCTGTCTGCTGCCGGGAAGCCTGTGAGAAACGATAATGGCAGAAGGAAAAACTGATGTGTCTTCATCTTGCCCTGCCTTTATCCAGTTACTGAGAAGAAAGAAGCAAAGGAGCACTAAGCGGTAGGGTTTGCTGCCTAAATGGCTGCTGTTGTAGCAGCCAAACTTAAGAGGCTGATAAGGTTGATAATGGAGTCTACCACCAGTGGAGCCAACTGCATCTTTCCACAGGAAGATTAACACAGTTAATTACTTCCTCATCTTTAGCAGCGTTTAGAAAAAAAGTATCTGTGGGAAGGTGAATTTACTGTTTCTGTAAATAATCAGAACCCTGGGGAGAGGGTGAGAAAGCACAGGAGGAAAACACTTGCCTGCAGAAACACCAGTCGATTCATAGTGCACTTCTCTAACTACACAACCTCCTCTTGTCACCGATACCCAGCACAGAGCTGCAGACAAAACAGTAAGTTGAGGTGGTGTGGTTTAACCCGGCAGGCAGCTGAACACCACACAGCCGTTTGCTTGCTCCCCTCCCCGCAGTGGGATGGGGGAGAGAATCGGGGTGGGGGGGAACATAAAATTCGGGGCTTAAGATAAAGACAGTTTAATAGGACAGAAAAGGAATGGAAGATGATAATAATGATAAGAGAACATACAAAATAGGTGATGCACAATGCAATTGCTCACCACCCGCTGACTGATGCCCAGCCAGTTCCTGAGCAGCGGTCGTCGCCCCCCGGCCAACTCCCCCCGATTTATATACTGAGCATGAGTCATATGGTATGGAGTAGCCCTTTGGCCAGTTTGGGTCAGCTGTCCTGGCTGTGCCCCCTCCCAGCTTCT